TAATGTAGAGAAAATAAGAAATATTGACATAAATGAGTAAATAAAGAGCCATGTCTAAAGTTTAGATTAAAGGAATCAACAAGAGAATGAAGAGGTTAAACAATGACGATACTGCTGGGGTTAATTTAAGGTAAATTAGATAAATTATTGTTAATTATAAATTAATTAATACAATAAATAGTAACCACAAATAAAATTAGCGAATTACTGTTATTCAGATAGATTACTGCAGAAAGCAAAGTTAATAGAGGTGGGAACAACAGTTTCTTGCAAAAAACGCATAGTTTTCATAAAAAGTAAAGAATAGGCTACTTCTTCTTTTTTTGTACCTTAGTGCCTATATAGTATACTAATTGTATTATGGCCATCATAAGGAACTTCAAAGATAAGATAATGGCACACGAACTCATAGCCGGATATAACAGCCAAAACTAACATATAAGCTCACCCCAAAATCTTTAAAATACCTTAGCAAAACACCATACAGTACCTAAATTTAGGCTCAGGCTAACGTAAGCGACTGTATATTTATAAGCGAATAAGGTTACTAATCATGCCAATGAGAAATTAGTACTTATATTACCTTCGAGCTGAGGAAAAACAATCACCTATAAAACTATGATAAACGATCACAAACAGATTTAATAGTAGCTAAATCGGCTCATAGATTCCTATATGTATTGAGCAAACTTTAAAGAATAAGGGTAAAATTTTTACGTAGGCACTCAAACGCATAATTCGAAAACCGAGAACTGAAAAAACTCAAAAAATCCAAACAAATATTGCATGTTAAGATGTTTCAAAGTATACTGGGAGAACATAAATTATCGCTTATAATTACTTGTTTAAAGAGGTACAGGTTGATGCTTACGGTAGTAAGCATTTCTAATAAAATACAAGTCGTGGTAGCGTAAGATTCATTTTTAGTCTCGTACAAGAAATACGGAAATCAATAAAGTAAAAGCTAATAAAATTACCTGGAGGGCCTCAAGCTCAGCAAGGAGCTCGTCCTCATCGAAATCCAAGTTAATGCCAGCCGGACGAGAAATAGCATTAGAAATCTCATCAGCAACTTCCTGTTGCTCTTGTATTTCGTCCATAATATCGTGAACATCGTCAACTTTCATATTCTTATGGGCTGCCTTAAGGGCATCTGATGCTGTTCTCATCGCATTCATGACCTCCACATTTGTCCCAGCATTATCAAGTGCCTCAATCTGAAATTCTATTGTAGTTAAGGTGCCATCAATCTTCGTTAACTGTTGTTCGTATCTCTTCTTTCTGGACAAAGCCTGTAAAGCGGCTATGCCAATTGGAAAATGCGACTATTTACCTCTTTTGTTAGCCATCCCATGAGTTTTTACTGCTAGCAATTCCTTTTCAATCTTTTTCTCCAAAAAATCTTGTTTTTTGACTAGCATTTCCTGAACACTTCTAAGTCTTTCCATTGCTTGAGAGGATGTAGCTTTATCATTCTTTTTGGTACCAAAAAGACTCCTAAGGGTACTCATGGTGAAAAAGAAAAGGAACCAGATAGTGCGGCTGACAAAAAATGTAGTAAAAAAATAACTTTTAATTTTGTTGAATTTATATATTTATTAATATTTAAATATAAAAAAAATAATTATTATAAACAAAAAAAATTAAAATAAGATTTAAAAAATTAAAATTAGTTTAAAAAATTAAATATAAAAAAAATATTTTTAAAAAATTTTGGTTTAACGCGAATTATTTAAAATTGCTCTGAGATGCTGCTTAGTCAGCCCCTTCCGCCC